GATAAACTTAAAAAAATGAATAAAAATTATTTATAAATGACTTTCTGCAATATAGGAACAAAAAGTAGGAATTGACTTAAAAAATTGACTATGTTACTTGTAAGTATAATATATCAGATTTCAGCGGTGCACACGATATAATACTAAATCTACTAAAAATGAAATTCTATAGTTCTTTGAGTTGCATTTTGCTAAAAACAGAGAAAAAAATTCTGCTACCTTTTACTTTTGTTACCCAGCTAAAAGCTTTTAAAAATGGCTGACTGATTAGATTAAGTTTTAAAATAGTTGTGAAAGACAGTTTCAAGCAGACAAGACACTAGCAATTTAATTGATCCTTTAGAACTGCATTTTACTTTAAATTCAATGCATGCAATTTCATATGTTTTATTCTTAAGTTTTACAGGAAAAGTTTGTTAGTCAATACCAATCTACCATCTACTAATAGATGACGCCAGTTGAACTTACAAAAATGAATGAATTAATTATTTATAAAGGACTTAATTATTTATAAAGGAAAGGAAATGAAATGAATTATTTATAAAAAGGACTTTCTGCAATAGAGTGAAAAAAAAAGTAGAATTGACTTTTAAATTTTTTTTTTTTATATTACTTGTTTTATTAAAGAGGTAGGCAGGGCTATTTTGCACGTTTTGTGTTCATTCGTGTTCGAACGGCCACTTTCCATTTATGTGTATAGAGCGGGAATCGGTCAGTTCCATCAGAATAACAATCGCTTCAACACGGTTATCGATTGTTTGTGTTGCTTTAATTTGGTTAACAATGGATTCAATACAAAACAACGATCCTGTTCTGGTAAATATCTAGAATAGTGTATCCATTGAACCAAATCGCCATGGAAGCATACATAATGGCAAATTATGGTTTTTAAACTATATAAAACGATTTATTATTTACATTTTACTGAACTGTATTCTTAAGTTTGGAAACTTAATTTATCTAATCAATAATAATATTAAAATGAGATACAAATAAACATTCCAGGGATCTTTCATCCATTTAAACTCTTGGAGAGATCTGATTCTAAATTCTGTTGCAAATGACATTAAATCATTTATTCAATTTTCACGGAAGAAACTATTGTTGAAAATGAAAAACTTGCTACTTGGGCACAGAACTGCAGATATTTGACCGAAATCATAATACAGTAGAACCTCTTTAAGTCGAAAACCTCCACAACTCGAAAAATTTTTCGTTCCCTTCTCTGCAAACCCCAAAACCTCCATGACTCGAAATTTCAACCCTCTATAAATCGAAATAATTATTCAATCCCCAAAAGTCATTTTGGTATATATTTTCCCACCGTAACTCGAAAAAAAAAATTGGACCTTTGTATCTCGAACATTAGCAATGTTTGATTTTACAACTCGATCATTTGAAGCTAATTACCTCTATAGCTCGAAGAAAAATATGTTACCGACAACTTGAATTTTTATTTATTTTACCAAACTCAAAATAAGTCAGAAAGAATCTAAACCTCTACAAGTCAAATATTTCCTTACAAAATCCTCCAAAAGTCGAAAACTATCTAACTCGAATTATTTGGCGTTTCCCTTGAAGTTCGACTTACAGAGGTTCTACTGTATAAATTAATTAATTTTCTTATTTAAATGGACAGCGTATTACGTGATGGCATTAGCAAATAGTGATATAAAACAAGAGAATAGTCCCTTGGATAATACTATTTCACTTAAATAACTCTAGACATAATACTCCTGCCATACTCTAGACATAATACTTCTCCATAATATGTGGATCACCAGATTTTTAAAGACTCCTCTAATTATTCGTGTAAATATTTACGAAATTGAACAGCTTTGCAATGATATCTTTAAGCAAAATATATCCTTCGCCGATTTTTATGAACATTGAAAACGAGAAACTAATTTCAAATCATTTTCATGCGACTACATGCTGTCTCACCATTTTTTTTTAACTTGAAAGAGGTCGAACTTCCTTTTATTAGTATGCTCCTTCACGAAACGATAAACATTAATACATCCACACTGCAAAGAATTAGTCAAAACATTTCTCGCTTTGAATCAAACAGAAAGTATGAAATACTTGAGATGGAGGATTTCCTAATAGTAATAATTTTTGCTTATTTTTCTATTCTTTTTCAATTACTTCTATTAGCTCCCACTCTCCCTATATATATCTTGTTCAAATTTTCAATCCTTCATAAAATGATATTTATTCATCCACTCAAGTTCAAATGCATTTTTTGAACTTGTGGTGGATGACCCTGGATGTTAATACAGTTTTTTCAAATAGTAATTCATTCATTAAATTTAATTCATTAATTTTAGTTTTTTTTTAGATTTAAGTTGCATAGATGTTGGTTAGTGATGCATGGCGCCAGATAAACTTAAAAAAATGAATAAAAATTATTTATGAAGGACTTTCTGCAATGTAGTGAAAAAAAAAGTAGGAATTGATTAAATTTTTTTTTTTATATTACTTATTTTCCTTTTGGTTTTTTATAAGGAATTATAAAAGTAATATTTTATGATTGTCGTACCAATATTAAACAGTGGAAGCTATATTTTAGTGATTTGGAAGGATAAAATGTATGTTATTTGGAAATAAATCATGACATCATGATAGAGTACAAATTCTAGTGATTCATATCAATTCTTTTAGAACTTGAAATAATGTAGATATACAAAATGTAATTTAACTACATAAAATGTATATTACATAATAATATGAGGTTTTATCATGTTAATTAATGAATTCAAATTTCACTAGAATGTTTTCTTTATTCTGTAATGACAAAATCTTCTCATCTGTTACCCTACACTTTGTTGTTTAAAGAGTAGGTAAGAAAAAATGGTACTTACGTATTAACGGTACCTTGGCGACAGACTTGGCGGTTTTAAGTGTCACCAATCTTTATTATTTGGAATAAAAATATTTTGAAAGCGTTTTGATTTTAAATGAAGTGTTTCATATACATTTTATTACTTGGAACAAAAATTTTAAGCGTAGATTGGCGCCAAATCTGTAGCTGCGGTGGGCGCGTGTGCTCTTTATTGGCGCAACTGTCGCCAAGGTACCGTTAATACGTAAGTACCGAAAAATGTTTACAAATTACATAGATACTCCCAACGAAGCTTGATAAAAAATTATTATCTTGCATTGAAAAGTTATTTCGTCATAAGCAATAATTTGATTTGATACATAATTTGATCTTATTTCAGATTTAAATAATCTTTTCTCTTTTTATTTTATGTATTTTTTTAAATTGACTTCTGAATTGAATTGCCTCTGTTATATGTAATATATCTATGAAGCTTCTTGATTCATGTGTATTTCATGAAAATGCTTTAATTGTACTTAGTACATGAAAAGTACTTTGTATTCAAGAAAAGAAAGTATTTAAGGGAAAGAAAATGTAACAGCAATTAAAAAAAAATTAAGTTAATGTATATAAATATTCACATAACAAATTCATTCAAATGTTTATAATCTTAATGTTTAGGAAGAATATTTTACCGTTCTTGCTGGATAGTATAATTTAGATAATAAGTCTTGCGTCATAAATTTAGTAAAGCATTTAAAAATTTTTATATTCTGAAGTTTATTTAATTACATTTTGAATATGCACGTTATATTTGAAATTTTTTTACCTGTACTAGTGCTGTGACATTCTTTGAATAACATGAATTGAGTATGAGTGCATTTTATTAAGGTAGAATAAAGAATAAATAGATTTTTGCAGTGAAAAACGAATCTATGGATAATAATAAATGTAATTAATAAAATTTCCAATTTTTATGTAATTAATGCACATTTTGAATAAATATGTTTTACGTAAATTGTTGTTCTAATGCAGCTGGCAATACAGAGACAGTTAATCTTTATGCCATAAGCAAGGGCTGCACCACTGTTGCTCATTTAGCACTACCAATGCGGATTATGTAGCTTGAAGATATGCTAAGGACGCGAATAACATTACCCCCATAACGTTCTACGGGGGTAAAGTCCCTACTGTTTAAAGTGGATTATGAACCGATACAAACATCCATGTCACAACTGGGACTCGAACCCGAAACCTGTGGTACCGAGCGCCAGAGCGCTAGCCACTCTACCATCTGGCCCCGTATCACGTAATTTTTTTTCTTTATTTACATACAACAAATTACAGACTACAAATGTTATATAGAAAAATATTGAAGCCTGAATGGTCGAATGACTTGAGCTCTGGCGCTCGGCACCCCAGGTTTCGGGTTCGAGTCCCGTCGGTGCCATGGATGCTTGTAGTGGTTCGGAATCTACTTTAAGCCATAGTTCCCGGTCTCAAATGACTGTAAGAGCATCACGGAGCAAAAGTCAGACTTCTACCGCGGGTGCTCCTTCACAACAGAAGCTGCCCCCTTCCCTTTCAACCACGAGTCCATACGGGTTCGCGGGCTTGGTCTAGATTAGATATCTAGCAAGTGGGTATAAGTAACAACAAAAACAACAACAGAAAAATGTTAGAACTTTCTGTCCTCATTAATATAATAAGGAAACCATCGTAGTGAAACCCAAATTTATTAATATTAATAACATTCAGAAAATTTTTTATTCAAATCCTTTTGTTAGCTCACACTCTCTCCATATATATATCTTGTTCAGATTTTCAATCGTTCATAAAATACTTTTTATTCCTCCACTCAAGCTCAAATACATTTTTTTTTAACTGGATGTTAATACAGTTTTTTTGAAATATTAATTTAGTAATTAAATTCAATTCATTAGTTTTAGTTTTTAGATTTAAGTTGCATCTATCTTCCAATAGATGGCGCCAGATAAACTTAAAAAAGGAATGAAAATTATTAATAAAAGGACTTTCTGCAATAGTGTGAAAAAAAGTAGGAATTGACTTAAATTTTATATATATATATATATATATATATATATATATATATATATATATATATATATATATATATATATATATATATTACTTGTTTTACATATAACAGAGGCCAATGGCCATACCATGCTGAATATACCGGTTCTCGTTCGATCACCGAAGTCAAGCATCATTGGGCGCGGTCAGTACTTGGGTGGGTGACCACCTGGGAACACCGTGCCGTTGGCATTCACAAATTTGGGACCTGAATGGCCGAGTGTCTGGCGCTCGGTGCCACAGGTTTCGGGTTCTAATCCCGGCGGTGCCATGGATGTTTGTAGTCATTCGGAATCCCCTTTAAGCAGTAGGTCCCGGTCTCCTATGACTGTAAGAGCGTCAAGGAGCCAAAGTCAGACTTCTACCTACGGGTGCTCCATCACAATAGAAGCTGCTTCTGTCCCCTTCAGCCATGAGTATGTATGGGCTCGTGGGCTTGGCCAGCCAAGTGGGATAAGAAACAACAAACCCATATAACAAATTACATACTACAAATGTTATATAAAAAAGTTAGAACTTTCTGTCATCTTTGATAGAATAAAGAAACCATCGTAGTGAGACCTGAATTCATTAAAATGAATAAACTTCTTGTTTTTTTTTTTTTTCAGTTCTAAATTTTGTTACATCATCATCTCTTCTGATTCAACAACATTGTTTCATGCGCATTGGCAGTTTGAAGATAAACAGATATGAGTATCTTATGCACCGTTATTTTATTTCTGTGCGTGTCACTGACTCAGGCTCAGTGTCCATCTGACGGAAGAATCCTGGAACCTTGTCACTGCACCAGCACGAGGGAGGGCGGAGATGAGCTGTCGTGTTTCGGGCCGATTGGCTTAGTTAACCTGACCACGATCCTCAGGAACAAGATGTGCGGCAGAACCCTGGATCGATTCAAGCTAACCTTGTCTGACATCGAGTACTTGCCCAGCAATCTATTCTTCAAGATCATCGTCAGAGATATACAGGCGAGGCGGAGTTTTCATTTGTAACATATTTGTCGATGAAATATATTAAATGTTATTATAAATTTATATTTCACCTTTAATATTTCTATACCTTTATACAGAGATAGATATCAGAGATCCTTAGTATAGAAGGATTCCCAAGTATGCCGTGGGAAGATTTCAGAATGCCCGAATTATGCTTAAAAAATAGTGTTTTCTTTTAATTTTATGTAAAAATTTGAGTTCTGCATCATTCTAATTGTGTATGTATTTTGATTGTAATGGTCTCCAACAAGTCAAATTGGTTGGACCATTTGCATATAATGCTGCAGAGATCGAAATTTGTAATTATTTCTGAGAAATAATTATAAATTTCGAGATTTTTTTTAGTTAATTTAGAAAAAGGTCTCCTTTAAAATACCAAGCATCTGAGAGCGCGATAGGGATGCTGAAAATATGTGTGGGAGTGAAATTATTCTATATCTTTTAGGGTTTTTATTTATGTTTATCCTCAGTCTTCTAGAAACAACAATTTTACATTCTATAATGACTTATAAATTTCTATCCTTAAATTAATTTCATAAAAATTATCATAGCTTAATATTTTAAAATGAATCAAGATTCCAAATTTTTTTTATATATCAATCATTATATTAAATAGCTGAATTTAAGATCAATATTTCAAACTATTATAGTTTTGAAAATAGATCATGCGAATTTATATATTAATACTTATATTTTTATATTAATAGTTACCTCGCTTAATATCGGATTAAGCAATAGGAAATGGAATTTACTTTGTTGAGTTATACGTCCAATGAAAATGATAGTTATGTGGGAAGGATCAATTTGTTAGCTATTGGAATGCATTGCTTACTATTTGTAGATATTATCACTTGCCAATGAGTAGTCAAAATTCACTTTTTAGTGAGCAGACTGATTACTGCAATTTGATCAATCATTGTACTGTAGCCATTGATTCACTAAAGTTGTTAATTAGTATTAAGAATTAAATATTGCTGTTAATTCTAAAACAGTTCGCAGTTATAAAAAGCTTTGCCATTACATTTGGAAAAACTGAAGATTCAGATTCTGTGACTTTCTCTCTCTCTTTCTCTGTGTATATATATATATGACAATGAAGGTGCAGGTTTTCTTGTAAAATGATATTAAAATTTATTTTTAGCTGACTACATAGATTGCTGCAGGGATTTAATACCAAAATAAAAATAAAGACCAAATTGGTTTCTTTATTCAAATTACCTAGATAATTTCTATATTGGAAGCCAGGTTATTTTTGAAGAATTTAGCAGGACACTTTCAGCTGGTGTGGTCTTATCAGAAGTTTATAGTTTCGGTAATTTTAAAACTTGCCCAATATAATGCATGTTCTTGTTGAGCGTCTACTGTTTATTACTTAATTGGCGCCTCTGTGAAACAAATGCATGGTATGTTGAGTAGAAAGAAATTTCTGAAATTATTTTACACTAGCGTCTAAGCCCGTAGGGTCTGCAATAGCTCTAATAATAGTAATATCTTAATTTGTTGTAGAATTCAAGTCTATTCTATGCCAAACTTGTAAGTATGGTCGGTACTTACGTATTAACGCTACTTTTGCTACAGTTGCGCCAATAAAGAGCAATCTTGTTGTTCGCACGCGCACGCAGTTATCTTTTGAACGCCAACCGCAGCTACAGATTTGGAGGTTTTAAATGGAATTCTGCTTCCCTCAAACCAGTTGTCTTTTCTAAGTCCTACATGATAAGCACACTGATTTAAATTGCATTTCCAAAACTTACGTTTACCAAAATAAAGTTTCATGTCATGAAAATTGGGACATTTTCGTTTTTTTGGTAAAATATTTCGCTCCTGAAAAAATAAAAATTGCATCTTGTTCTGTTTCTGGCAAATCCCAAATACGCATTTTCGTAGCACTAAAAATGGCGTCAAAAATCAGCAAATCTGTAGCTGTTAGATTGGCGCCACTTAAAAACCGTCAAATCTGTAGCTGTTAGATTGGCGACACTTAAAAACCGCCAAATCTGTAGTCAAGGTAGCGTTAATACGTAAATACCGTATGGTCACTTACCTAATTGTTATAATTTTAAGACCTATTCGAGTCTTATTATTTAAAAGAATATGGGATGTTTCCAGTTGTTAAATATTAATTCACCCCAAATGGATTCAAATAGGTTTGGATGAAACGTTTAACGTTTATTGACCATAGTTTAAGATCTTGTGAATGAAAATAAATTACTTTTCAGATATCTTTCACGACTATCAGCCACTTCACCAAGGGAGGGACGTCGGCCTTTTTCGGCCTGGAATCTCACCTGCTGTCCTTGTCCATGCGACGAGGTCGTCTGGTGGACAATCTCCAGTGGGAGAAGATAGGTGACCTCCACGCCCTCACGTACTTGGACCTCTCCTTCAACAACCTCACCAAGATTCCCCAGCAGTGGTTCCACCATCCCCCGCCAAATCTGCTCTCCCTCATACTCAAAGGAAACAAGTGAGGATGGAAACAAAATTTATTTATTTACAATTACTATACTACATAGTAACAAGTAATATAATTTTTTTTTTTTTTTTAAAGTCAATTCGTACTTTTTTTTTCACTCTATTGCAAAAGTCCTTTATCAATAATGTTCATTCATTTTTTTAAAGTTTATCTGGTGCCATCTATTGGTAGATACATGCAACTTAAATCTAAAAAAACTATAATTAATTAATTAAATTTAATGAATGAATGAATATTTGGAAAAACTGTACTAACATTAAGTGTCCTCCACTACAAGTTAAAAAAAAATGCATTTGAACTTGAGTGGATCAGTAGAAAAGTATTTTATGAACGGTTGAAAATTTGAACAAGATATATATAGGGAAAATGTGAGCTAATAAAAGGAATTGAAAAAAAAACATCTCCTGTCTCTAAATTTACCAGTAGGCAGATGGCCTTGGCGCCAATGAAGAAAAAGAAGAAGTATACATAGAAATAAGTATTTTATATGATCATTAATTTAATATACAAACAGGAATATTGTGAACAGGATGATTTGAGATGGATTCATTTGTATTGTAACACTTGCACATTGGAATGTATTAATTTAAATTTATTACTTTATACTGTAGATTTTATATTCTTTAGTGCAATGATATACAAAAGCATTTTAAATACGTAATAATTAATTTTTCTACCGAAATAACAAATAATAATTCATTTTCTGTAATTAATATAATGCAGAATATATTTGTCTTCAAAATTGTAAGAGTTGCTCATAAAAAGTGTTTGTTACCATCATAGGAATTATAAAGTTCATAGAAAATTCACAAAAAAAAAAAAAAAAAAAAAAAAAAAAAAAAAACCACATGATAATTTAATAGAAAATAAAACTGATCTTCAGTAAGTCCTTGCGATGGAAACTATGTAAGCATATTTAAAATTTTTATCTTTAATTGTCTTAGAAGTAATCTGGATTTTGAGTAGAATAATAATTTAGTAAAATAATAATTGTAATAAATTTTGTATAGAATAATAATTGTGATAAATTTAGTGTTAGTCAGGGTGCATAAATAGGGCTTGCTATATTGCACTCGTATTTCTTCGTCTCATTTTGGAACACATTAGTAAGGAAGGAAAATGAGGAATTTAGTCACTTCTTTCTTTTCCTTAAGACCATCGAAGAATGTATTTATCTTTCTCTAGGGAAATTGATTTAGGGATGATCTAAGATTAGGGACAGATAGAATTTAGATAGGGAATTTTTGATTTGACTTTGATGAGCAGGTTAGAACCTAGTTCGTTCAGAAATCCAACGTACTGATTATTAGCGCACTTCATTAACTATCACTCGATAAATTTTCGTTTACTAGAATTACCTGAATTCGTACCTAATTGCCGTCCGTACTCAAATACTTGTGATTAATAGTTAATGAAGGCATTTATATGAATAAATGCCATCATTAACTATTAATCGAAAGTATTTGCTTAATATCTCTCTCTCAGACTTGCTAAAGATAATACCTGCAAGAACTTGCTAAGGATATTCATAGATTCAGAGGAATGCCATGAGTTAGGATTCCAAAGATTCTTTCCCATTTTCAAGACTCGAACTATTTTCATCAAGTTCAGCACATATTTTGTATTAAAATGCAAAGGCAAAGAGCGTATTCTAAATTTACTTGAAAATTCTTATTCATAATTCAGTTGGATGGAAATATTTTTCGAAGAATGACAAGAACA